AAAGATTTTTGGAGCCAAAAAGCTATTGCTTTCCCTAAAATTCGAGAAATTGCTTTACAGCAACTTTACAGTTATTTTCAACCACATATTTATGCGAGCAAGGATTCTCAGTGCTTTTGATAATTAAAAATAAACATTGAAATTGGTTGGATGCCAGTGCTGACATGCATTTCCTTTGAGTAGTACTGAACCAAGAATTCAGCAGTTGGTAAACAGTATGCAGTCACAAAAATCGCACTAAAAGAATGTAATTAATGTAACACTTTCGCAAATAATATAATACTCTTGGTTCCGAATAATTTTCTACGTGTTTAATTTATAGAACAACCTTACAAGAACCTATATTACTGCCAAACAGCTCGTGGTCCATGACAAGACAAAAATTTCGATAAATGGTCCCTCATCACTAAAAGGTTAAAAACCACTGATCTACACATTTTTTAAATGAAATTCCTTTTCAATCTTTAAACAATCTTAACTTAGAAACAAGACATTTGTAGTGAATTTTTAACATTTAAGCACAGTTTCTGATGTTCTACCAAATAAAACCAGTCTCATAATTTTTAATTTTAATGTTTTTGAAAAAATTTCTCATTAAAATTACTTATGAAAAACTTTGTACATATTTCTTACAGCTGAATATAAATTTTTGACTGAAGATAACAATGGTGCTTACAGAAAAAAATGTTTTGTAGGCAACTGTTTTTAATTTAATTGTACTCTTTGCTATAAATCTCTTCAACCAACAATTGAAAAATTGTATACAGTGGGTGATCGGTTAACAAACAGATCAGATAACGAACACTTTTGCAAAAGATTTTTATGTTCAGACAACGAACATATGATCGGATAACGAACACCCCACAGAACAAACACAAGAAGAAGTGATATAAAATAATGAATATGATTGGTCTTCCCTTGTCTTCGGGCAACAATTCGAAACTTTTTGGAGTATGGGAGACATTGACATTGACGCTCAAGCTAATATATACCGATCAGATAGTATTTCTCCAAACTTTGAAACTCTCCCTTGTAATTCCAGCCTTTTATTTTTCTGACAAAACAATTCTTTTATGTATTTGCAAGACTGTTGGGTAGGCACTTGTTAACTTTGGCGATTTCTTTTCGAAAGGTGAGAGTATAATAGCAAAGGTAGAGAGTGGGCAGAAGATGCCTAATGTTGCTGGGCAGTATGGCATGAACAGGTCTACAGTAGACCGCAGTTCAATCTTATTTAAGAAAAATACTTTATAATCAAGAATACTCAAGCAGCTAAAAAAGTAACAAAAATCACATTTGAGAAATAAAGAACATCGAAGAGTTCATAATGGAACCTGAAACAGATCTGACGACAGAAGAACGCCAAGAACTCTTGAATGAAGAACACCATGATACTCGACAAAATATGTTTTCTTCTGAAAAAGAGGATTGATGCCAATATCTGTTATTAAAGATCCTTTGAAGAAGTAGGAGGATATCAGAACAACGATCTCAGAATGGCATCCAAACCAGGTTGAGGCTTGGGGATTTCTACAATTGCAATGCTATTAATTACTAACGGAAAATCCTGAAGAAGAGAGAAAAGCAATCAACATTAGACAGATTCTTTAACCCTTTCAAATGGAAAAAACATGACTAATAAAAACGCAAGACTGTGTATGTATGTATTTTTACTATTATATATAAATAAACATAGTAAGAAAGTATATACAGTAGAGCATCAGTTAACCGACTGTTCTAGTCGGCAAATTTCAAATGCCCGCTAGTGATGTGGCACTACAATATTTGGCTATGTCTTGGCTACTTTGATATTATTTTTGTTAAATTTTTGCGTGTTTTAGCTGGCAATACTGGCTCGACCATTGAAGGGAGGTCAGTATTTAAACGAGACTTAATTTTCTAATTATGAGTGGTTGTTCGTTTTGTGAGCAATAAAATAATTTAAAAATAATTTTTAACAATACAATAGCAACGATTATTATTTTTTTAAAGAATTTGTTAGGCTTAACATCAATGAAAATTCAACGCAAAGTTGGTTAATAGCGATATACTAATATACTAATTATATGGGATATGCTAATATACTATACTAATAATGTATTTTTTTCATTCTTTTCGGTTATCCGATTTTTCAGTTATCCGGCCAATCTGAGTCCCCAATCGAGTCGGATAATCAATGCTCTACTGTATTTTTTATTTTTGGGGGTCTCCAGAATGAATTAATTAAATTCCCATTAAAACCTAGGGTAAATCGATAATCGGTTAACGAACAATTTGGATGGCAAAGTCTTGGAACGGATTATGTTCGTTAACTGATCACCCACTGTATTAGTTTTATTTTTATCATCAATACTTTTAATTTTCTTAATTACTGATCTTTAATGTTTTATCTCAATGATATTACATTTTGAATCAATACATACTGTTTTCATGAAACATATTCTGATTTATTGAGGCAATACATAATGCAAATTATGAATTTTAATTTTAAAGCTACACTAACCTTAAATGATTCAATTGACATATATTAGACAGATGTTCTCTCATTTCAGAAAAATCTTTGATGTTCACTCCATCTAATAAAATTTTCATCAAATCTTCAAAAAATTTCTCGGATGTATTTTTCATTTTGGTAACAGAAGCGAGCGTAGGAAGCACTGTCCTGGAATTTGTTAATGTGGAAGAAGGCAACAAGATGTCATCGTGAAGAATTAAAAGGTAGACACAGCTAAATTTGGCAGAAAACTGTGTTAGTTCTGTTAATGGGTCTTGTAAAAGGCCTTGGACGTTTCCTTATTTATTAGAAAATAATCAAAATAATTATTGTTACTTCAATTATAATCTATAAAATTACAAGTTTTGAGAGCAATATATTGCTTACCTTTTGATTTTAAACTACTCCTTCGATAGCTACTATTAGAACTGTGATAACCTGTAACAAAAAAATTCATTTTAAATACAGAAAAACAAGTTGTTATAAATTAGCATTATGTTTCTATTTGAAAAGAAAAGATTACAAGTAATTATTTTGTTTAAATTACAGAATATACAAGTTTAAAATAACCCGAAGGCTTTGAGACGCTGCTACTGCTACTGGACATAGAAGAATCCATATCATTGAGGTTCTCTTTTCCGAATTTGTTTCCGATAACTGGTAAAAATTCATCATCAGAATCGTCTAGGTAAAAAAACAAAAAAGAAATTATTAACTCTAAAGTTACTCAATCTACAATTTTCTCATTAACTTTATAAGAATTCTTTCATACCTAGAGAATGGGAAGACCATCCTTGATGATGCTGGAATCCTTTAGTCATAAGTTGAGGTTGGTTGATTTGCTTTTGTAGTTCTTGTTCTACAAGAGCATAATCAGCTGCACCCATTGGTTTATAATTGTTTTTTAAAACACTTTTATTATCTTCTAAATCTGTATGTTAAGTAATCAAATTAATCTAAAATTTCATGAAAGAAAACAGATTTTTATTTCCAAATTTAAGTACTTACCAGGTTCAGTCAAACCTCTTGCTAACTCTAATAAGATGTGAACTTGTCTTGGTGAAAGAAACATAACTACAGGACCAAAATTAAATTCAAGATCCACCTAAAATAATTGTATACATTAATTATGAACAAATTATATACAAAAATCAAACGTTTACCTTTGCTCCAACTGCAGATTCATTGTGTTTTAGCTTTAATCGTAACTCTTGCTGCCCATGTAGAAGCGAAATTAAAACAGGATCTTGAACAATATCTTCAGATGAATCTATCATGTTTTGATTACAATGAAGGGAAGAATGGGGTGGAGGCAATTCAGGTGAACCCGGAGCTATTTGTAGGTTATCAATTAACTAAAGTGAATAAAAGTTAAAAGCATTGTTAATTCATAAAAATAGAAATGTTAAATAGTAACTGGACTGCAAATTTAATAATCATCTTCACACCTTTGGAGTGGATGCAGAACGGATGACAGTTCGATAATGCTGTGGAAATTCATCAGAATATAAATTTACTCCCTCCAGAGTAAACTTCTTTGTGGAAAATGTTACTGGTTCATATATGTTACGCTTTGATGTATGATCACTGTATTCTGTATTTTCATTTCCAGCCTCGTCGAAATAATCAATTCTATAATAATAAATAATGATAAAATTAAAATTAAAAATATAGAATTTGATCAATAGAAGTACATAGCACAGTTAATTATTGTTTGCTTTATTTTGTCAGTAAAAATGCAATACTCATTCTGCATTTCAGTAGGCAACGTAAGATTTTTACATGTATTTAAGCACAGAATAAATACAGGGTCTTCCAAAATGAATGCTACCACCTTAAATTACTTCACTTATGATAATTATTATCTGAGAAGTATTTGATGTATACCAATCAACAGAGTAACTATCTGAGTTTCATCTCTCATCTGCACTCAAGTGTCTTGTCACCTACTACCTCTAGGAAGCACCTTAAATGAAAATGGCGACTCCACAACAGAGATGCTTTACATTCTGCAGTTTCCAAAATCAGAATCACTTGTCATTGTGAAACACAAATAATCTGTAGGAGCCACAGAATTGTGACTTTCACGAGAGGAATGACAATGGATATGTCGTAGTAAGTATAGGAAGAGCTTGAATATTGGTTGGACATGTGATATATGAAACAAGATACATGCATAGAGAAATTGTAATGGGCAAATGTAAAACTTCAACAGTTTTCCAATGTTTCAATATATGTTACAACTTCTTGGATAATAATTAGTATAATTACAATAATTTAAAGTAGTATTCTTTTTTGGAAGACACTGAATTTGATTTCCACAACATAACAGTAAGCATTAACTATAATGTGGTTCTGCAGAAAGAACTTGTTTTCTTTAAATTAAAATTAAAATTTTTAAGACACAAATTCATTAAACTTACTTTTTGACACGTATTTCCAATGCAACTCCAGATTTACTTTCTTTTGGTATATATTCCATTCTTATTACAGTATCTATGAATCGAACTTTGATCCTGCAGAGAACTAGGAAACAAATTTTTATATTAACAATACATTATCAAAGGTTACACTTACGTGTTGTAGCGTTACAAATGGTGACTGTTTAGAGTTTGGATAAACAGTCACCATTCGTAATACCACAACACATAAGTGTTGTGGTATTACGAATGATATTGAAAAAGTCGGCTTGAAGTGATTATTACATTTGATATAACAATACATTTCTAACAATAACAGTCAAAATATTTAAAAGAAAATATTTTAAATTACCAGTTTCTATTGTCTGTGCAAACAATTCCAATCCCTCTAATGGCTGCACTGATTCAACATCTTTTTCTACCTCAAAAACCTCCTGACGGAGACATTCTTCTGCTAGTTGCATACTCGTCGTCATACTTCCCCAGGTGGAATCAAACATCGAGGCTAAAAATAGTATTTTCAAATTATTATTTTATAAAGCTGTATAGAGTATCAATTAAACTAAATGTGTTACCATCTTGTGATCGCTGTTTTGGTTGAATGGTCATCATGAGGCCCTGTACTTCGACCAAGCTGCTCTCACTCAGTAGAGAGGACCACGGTATCATTATGGAAATTGAACTGATGTAGCCATCCACAAACTCTATGGGAAAGTTATGTGTCTCTCCAATTTCATTTAAAGCCTAAAACAAAATTATAAATTAACTTCCCTATGCATTAGACAAAGTTCTTTTATAATCATCTAAATGGTTAGACAATGTAAGGATACATAGGCTTCAGGTGTCTAAATATTGAAATTACATTGAAATTTTAAAGTTTACCCTAAAAAAAATGGAAATTTAAAATTTATTTCTGTTCTATATTATTATTATTGCCATATAATTATTTAATATTGAAGCCATACATTTACATATAAACAATATCAAACAGTGCTCACTGTACAGCAAATTTGTGATTACCTTTAAAAAAATGGTTTACACTACACTATCCAGAACCTGTAACCAGTGCATGATGCATATATATTGTATACTGCTGTTGACAAACATTTTCAAACAATCTCTTTGTTCTTCTTCAGGTCAACTGGAATTCCCTGGACGGAGTGTATTCGATTTGTTCGGATCAGGTGTCATTCCAACAAAGTGGGTCCTTTCTAACATGCGCAGTCATGTGCTGGAGGAGGTCATTGCAGGTTGGCATCCAACAGGGATTGCCAGGCCAGAGATAGAGTCAGCTCTTCCTTCCGGTTAACACATGTGGTTACCCAACCGGTGTTGTAGATAGCCATGGCCTCTAGCCACCTGAGATGTTCCTGGTGAGCCCTGGCCACATATGTGTTGGATCCTGAGGTTGAGGCATGATTCGAAAAAGCTACTGTTGTCATCAACACACCCCATCAGAAACATCTCACGTGGCTAGCCACAGCTATCTACAATGCCAGCCAGGTAACCACGTGCATTAACAGGAAGGAAGAGCTGACTCTATTTCTGGCCTGGCAATCCCTGCTGGATGCCAACCTGCAACTACCTCCTCCAGTGCACGACCGCACATGTCAGAAAGGACCCACTTTGTCGGAATGACACCTGATCCCAACAAATAGAATACACTCCATCCAGGGAATTCCAGTTGACCTGAAGAAGAACAAGAGATTGTTCAAAAACGTTCAACAACAGTGATATACAATATATACGCGTCACATACTGGTTACAGGTTCCTGATAGTGTACTGTAGATTTCACCCCGGTGCTGAGGTTAGAATAGTTTCTGTATTTAAAAAAATGGTTATTCAGATGACAAAAAATCCTTTCATAATCCATAAAGCAAATGTCAAACTCAAAAGTATATAGAAAAATATTTATTTTAAAGGAGTATAATGTAAAAACAGTGTAAAAGTAGTGAGTGCTAAAATCAGACAGATGATAATAAATCAGTAATATTTTATTTGATTTGGTCTTCAGTTGAAACATTCCCTTTGTCATTATGCAGTAGCTGTATCAATACACAAGCATATGAATGAATTTTGCCTTCTTTGGGCCTCACTTCACTTCTCATTACTAACATTTCTATTCTATGCTTCTAAAGAAATTGAGCCAGGAGCCTCAAAAGTGCTTAATATGGGCCTGATAGTTAAAAGTGCCGATATTAACGGAACCTTTTTAGTATTAGCACCAGTAACAATATACACCAATACACAATTTCATGTATTATTCCTTGAGTCTGTAGTAAATAAATGTTTAAAATTTAAGTACACATTTATTTATGTAATTAATAAATTTTTTTATATTTTCTAAACCATAAGAGTGCAGCTACAGAATGGATATATGCAAGGGTGGCACACTTTGGGATCATTCATTCAACTGATTTTTCATAAGGAAGGAACAAATAGAATATATATACACTATGTGAGAGTGTATGTGTGTGTTTTGTTGTATAACTTTCAAAGTTTAATAAACTACTCAAAAGTACATATTTGATTGTGGCAGACAAAATTACAGCCCAACACAGCTTAGTTTCTTGACAGGGTAGTAGTAGTTGACAAATAACAGGGAAGTAACAATTACAGTTAGTCAAAGTATTATTAAGTCTGCTCCTTGAAAGAACAATTTTTATTTAATCATCCCGAATATAACAATTTGAAGTAAATTATGCTAACTGCCATCAATCTACCAGTTTCATTTTATGGTTTTGACTGCATTGTTCACAAATTTATTGTTTTGTATAACTTGCCTCTACTTTAGAATTGATACTGTAAGTTTCTATTATTCTGTATATTATAAATGGCTGAGTAAATTCAAATAACAGATTGGTATTGCTATCATTCAATGCATTTCTCATGAGTAAGAGTTTAAGATGACCTCTGATTTTATTATTTTCATTTTATCATTCATTTTTTCTTAAAAAAAATTGCAAAATATTTGGATTTAATTATGATGTGTGGAAACTATAAATTACAAATCTGCACCTTCTAGATTTTGAAATATATAATTGAAAATTTATGTCAAAATTCAGTTTAAGCAAAATGAATCAATGCTTTTTAATAAGATAAATCAAAAACAATTCTTATATAATTAAATATCCAGATTCATATATAGACCAGCAGGGTCATTCAGACTAGACTCCAGACAGAGACAGACTTTCCAAATTTAATCTTTACATTAGAAATATGATACAAATGTAATATGTTTCTTTTGGTAAGAAGTGAAAAACCTGTACTTTAATAAAGAATTTTAAAAACTTCTGGAGAGAAGTATGATGCATATTTGTGACTAATTTGAGTTCCATTTCAAATCTCTTTTCCCCTTTGTAAATATTAAAAAGAATGACCACTATTTACAAGTACTCAATATAAAAGAATTGGATACAACAAGCTGTTTTATTTTATCTTTCTTCCAATTTACAAGACAGAGTATTCAATACAACAAGCACAAAATATATTTACAAAAACAAAATATTGTAATCAAAAGACTGATTAAATAGCTTGTAGGTTCTAGTCTCCATATTTTTGTTTCATTCATTCATCCATTAGTAGAAATGTCATTTGTTCTATTACATTGAGTAGTTTAGCAAATTTTATCTTTAAACAGATAAACAGAGCCAAAATTTTATTTGATTAGATACTTTTGGGACTCCTCCATACCATCTTCAAATTCCTAGATCTGATGATGAAGTTGGCATACTCTGAAACTAGAACTGTATCTCTACATTGCAGATCCTTTATTAGTGATATCAGTGATTATTTTACTCTATTTTGCTTGTTTTCTTAATTAAATTTAAGTTTCTTATCATTAAATGAATTGAAAAATCCAGCAATGAGATGCTTTACTTTCCCAGCAACATTTGATGGCACCATCTGTTATGATATTCTATTTTAAAAAACTTTATACTTTAACTTTGAACTCCCTTTATCTCCCACCCCCTCAATCTTTAACCACCAAAATTTAATAGCATCAATTCCCCTAATATACAAACCTCCCTGTGAAATTTCAGAAATTTTCAACAAAAAAGCACAAAAGTTATTAAGCTTCAAAAAAGGATGAACAAAATCATGCCATCAACACCCACACACACACTAACATCCATACATACAGAAAAATCCCTGAATTTTTTTTTTTTTTTTTCTTAACATTTCAAGGTCCCAAGTCCAAAAATGTAAAAATCTTGGGGTCATCTTTTGACCGATCACAATACTTTTCCTCTGTTATATATAACAGAGTCAAGAGAATAAAAATTGATAGCATATTTATATTAATGAACTAGCTGCAAGGACCCGCTTCGCTGGGTTTTTATTTGTTCATACATTTGTATGTAATATAGTTTTTTTATATATATAAAAGACTGTTTTTCTAAGTAATCTAGAATCTAGCTGCAAGGACCTGCTTTTGTGGGCAAAAAGTAACGATAGTGAAGATTAAGATAATTACATTATTGCCAATCTTACCCGTTTTCACAGAATGCAAGAATTAGGTCCCCCATTTCCAGACTAATTAGAGAATTTTTACATCCAGTCAAACAAACTATTTTCTATTTGATCAATTTTCTGAAACGTTTACAATCGTTCTATAATCGAACCAATTCGAATTCGAATTCAAATTCGAAAATTTTTAAAATCGAAATAAAAAATCTTCCACTTTCAACCACTTTCAAGCCCATATCTCCC